AATTTTGAAATGCAGATATCTCAACTTGATCTCATGATACTCGATGTCGACATAACACACAATTTTTTTGAAGATATCTAAGATGATCATTTTATACATTTAAGTGTTTAACTGATATAATGAAAATTAATTTAGGTGTCTAGATGTTGTTAAAGTATTCACATAAATTAACTAAAAATTTCACGTAGATAGGCATATCGCAAGTTCTATATAACTAAAAGTACTGAGAGATAAAAGAACCCAATACATCACAAGCTACACTAGCAATTCAAAGAAATTGTCTTGGCATTTTTTCTATTTCAACATGTCAAAACATTAAATATCTTGGCTATCAAGTTTTAAGTGAAATATCATAATAATTAGTTAGATTAAGATTATCCAAGACACGCTTGTTTTCCAACATTTGAATGTTAACAAAAATATTAATGTCTCGTTTGTTTCCACTAAGATTAAACCGTCTGAATTTGAATAAGCATCTGATCTATTAAGATGTGCATTATGATTTAGATGTCTAGATGTGAATACACATTCGAATATTAGGATGTGGTCTCTAGATAAGAACACTAAGGGGTCGTTTGGTAGGAGGTATTAGGAGAAATAGTCCATGTATTATGTATGGTATTATTTAGTACTACGTTTGGTAGAACTTTGGGCCTAAGTATAACTAATCCATGGATTAGTTATACACACTACATGGTATTATAGGATGTATTATTAATACCTTTCATTTGGTGGTATTAGTAATACATTGGATTTAATACCATGGAATTATTTATGTAAAGACAAAAATATCCCTCAAACCATTTTAATCATTTTATTTATTTTCTTTGTTTTATGTTTTATATTTATACTAGAAAATTATATAAATAAGTTAGCTTACAAATTTTATTATATAGAGAGAGTTGTTTGTTAATAAATAAATGCAATACATATCAATACAATATTTAAAATGTGAGTTCTTTAACATTTACTAATTGAAAAGGCAAATATATCACCACATGACGTTTGTGATCTTAATTTAATATATTATTTGTTGATTTATATGTGGTTTCTAATTATTTGTATTTTGTAACAATTTATAAATTGCATACATATTAAAACTACAACTTGTAATTTTTATGTGTAAATCTAGATGTTTTATTCGATTTTACTATTGTTTACCGTCTTTTTGGTTTTAAAGTAGATGGTCTATCTATTCTAAATTGAAAATTAACGTTTTTTAAGTGATTAATTTATTAAGAAAATATTTGTTTACCCTCAAATAATTCAAGTGAGAAAATAGCAAACATGACAACAAAATTGTTTCTCCTAGCTAGTTAGAAGGTCATAAAAAATAATATTGTCCCCGCAATTATCTACCTATATCGATTACATAAAATAGAAAATCTCATAATAATGCAAGAGTATAATTGGAAAGAAGCTTTTTGTAGAGTTTTAATCCAAACACAAGATGAGGTCAAAAGCAATGAACCAAACACTTGATAAAAAATATACCCTGCATTACTAATTTCAGCACTACTAATCCCTGCATTATTAATCCCTGTGGTTATTTTTTTCCCTACCAAACGACCCCTAAAAGTTTAAAACTGTTTATTTTCAATATTTTAATGTGCATATGAAATTAAACATTGTACCAATAAAATCTTATTAAATCTTCTTCTCAACAAAATATATTACTTTTTGATAGAATAACAACAATAATATATCTAGTGTAATCTCAAAAGCGAGGTTGATGATCAAAGAGTCTCAATAAAATTAGTGAGCTAGAACAAAAAAATTGATGATCAAAGTGGCCTAAAACAAAATTTTAATAAGAGACCTCAAATATATACATAGTTATTGTTTTTAATCCTAGATAATATTTTCACTCAAAAATTTTGAGTTCTTGATAAATATCAATACACCCAAAAATATTATGGGCAACAAGAGTTATTGAGAAACATCAATACCCCCCCCACAAAAAAAAAGTTGTAAATATAAAAAAACACTAAACAAATTACTTGTAAAGATTTTGAAAACTTACCATTTAAAGAAAAAAAAATGATGTTTTGTTGAGAAAAGAGAGGAAGAAACGTCGGTAAAGAGAGAGAGAATCGGAGGCCACATGATTATTTTAGCTTATGAATGAAGGTCTCATTTGTTTTCATTAAAATTAAGACGTCTAAATGATTAAGATGTTGTCTCTAGATCTGAACATTGAATGATTAAAACTGTTTATTTTTTTAGCATCTGAATGTATATAATTCATCATTATATAAGCATAATAAATATATAATTCAAATAATATTACTATGTGAAGTTAAACGCTTAGTGCGTTTTAGGAATATACACTAAAAACAAGTAGTATGTAAGAATAACAAAGACAATCCTAAATTAATAGTATTTTTGGGCATGTGTGTAAATATTCAAGGCTTCTTGTTATAATTTGGTGTTAGACTACTAATTTTAATTAAGTATTAGACTACTAAGTTTATTGAGTTGGCACAAATCCAAGACATTTTATTTAGACATAATACCTATGCTTTTCTAGAGCAGACGAGTCAGCAAATTCTTGTCTACCTCAAGAATAAATTTGAACTAATAAAGGTGTTAAGAGTTATTGATGAGTCTAATCTAAAAAACATGTCAATTAACACAAAATGAAGGACATATTTCAATGTTTAAAAGCAATTCCTTATAAGCAACCAACGGTAAATCTGAACGTCGGTTAGTAGTAGCAAACTTCCAATATAATCACAAATATCTAATTTGAGCCTGATAAAAATGTAGTCACAAATATCTAATTAAACGAAAGAAGTCTAATAGGGAGAAAACACACAAAAAAAATATACATGAAAAAAATACAATATACACATCCTTCTTAAGACTTTAATCATATCAATGCAAATGGAAAAAGAAATATAGAATTAATACATAATTTTCTGAGTTTTTGTCTACACCTTCTCCCATAACCAATAAAATTCAAGAGTCTTCTCATCGAGTCAAACTAAAACATAAATCAAATAGTACAATAATGATATAAACGCTCCACTACTTTAAATATAGAAAAAAATGAATAACCTTGAATTCGAGTCTCATGAAACCAAAAAGATGAATTTATATAGACAAAAATGGGGGAAATATCAAAAGATATCTTAAAGTTTAAATTAATATTTAGAGGTTATGAATATGAAAGTATGAGAGTTATGGATTTAAGAGTAGCAATTGAATAGGTAATTAGATATGATTTATGATAGTGAATAATTAAAGCAAATAAAAAAATAAAAAAATAAAGAAGAATAAAAGATTAGTACACATTATATTTAATTAAATAGTATTTTAATGTTACATAACAATGAATAACAATAATTGCATCACAGACTTCAAATAAATTTTTGATTTTCTCAATAAATTAACCCACTAATTACCTAAGTGAATTCGATTTGAAATACAAAAAGTAAACGCTTTCACAAGGTTAAATAGTAGAGTAGTACTACATTAAGTTATTCAAATAATAACTAAGAGAAGTGGAAAAAATTTAGTTATAATATTTATTCAGACATACATTTTCATGTGACAAATAGATATAGATATTTGAGTTAACACACCTTCTCACTTTGATATTTAGTATAATAATATTAAATATAGTTAATTCATCAGTCTTTATCATCACTTTTTATTTTATTAACAATATTTCATCAAGCCTTATTTATTCAAGACATCACTTTGATAGAGCAAGTTTAAGATTATGGATTCTGCGGTCTTGAGATTACAGACAAATCACAACAACATGTAAATCATCCAAACCACAACAATTAAGTGCATAGAAAATTTCACGACATAACTCAATGACTATCAATCACTATTAAAAGTATCTCTATCACATAAAATAAGTCATAACCTACCTCCATCGAAGAACCCAACTCAATCAAGCTAATTTCCCAATGCTTTTCTTTTCCTCAATGCTTCAGAACGTTTTCAATGTATCAAGTATGCATAATTTATAATTAAATGAGACTAAAGACACTCATATTACTATATGTCTAGCCTAGACTCAAAAACTCACCCAAATCTATAATCGATTCCTAAAGTTTAAGCCTAAGGATAAATCTCAGTTCCTCCAATTATCATAATTTTAATGGTATTCAAATAATACAATACACCTAATATTTAATCACCTATCTCATTATATCAAAACTTTATTTATAATATGAGAACGAAATGATAATATTAAAAGTTTGAAATTGGTTAGGAAACCAGTGGCAGCAAACCATGAACCCAACTCAATTCTTATCTAACTATAATGATTAATAATAGAAATACTCACACAACCAATGATATTATTATTATTATCCATCAATTATGTTACTATCATCACTTAGAAAAATACATACCAATTTATCCCACTCTATTTTGTCACTAAAATGGCACTTCTAAAGGACTAACACAACTTAAAATAATTGTACCTTGTGTTCAAAATGTGATGAGACAAATAAGGGCATTTTTGGTATTGTGAAGATTAATTTTGGTGCATTCATTGTAATAGAGACATCTGTACTCTATTTGGTGAAAAGGACTAACACAGCTTAAAATAATTGTACCTTGTGTTTTAGAAGTGGCACTTCTAAAGGACTAACACAACTTAAAATAATTGTACCTTGTGTTCAAAATGTGATGAGACAAATAAGGGCATTTTTGGTATTGTCAAGATTAATTTTGGTGCATTCATTGTAATAGAGACATCTGTACTCTATTTGGTGAAAAGGACTAACACAGCTTAAAATAATCGTACCTTGTATTGAAAATGTGATGAGACAAATAAGGGCATTTTTGGTATTGTCAAGATTAATTTTGGTGCATTCATTGTAATAGAGACATCTGTACTCTATTTGGTGACACGTGTGTTCTCTTTTTATACTTAGCCAGCCAAATATTATTTTATTAAAGTAATTTAATTTGTACTGTATAAGTGGGGTCCATATTATTATGCTTGAGTCTTTATGATTTCCAAAGCAAACCACGTGTACCCCTATTCTCTTCATCTTCTTTTCAATGACCAAAAATTTGGTTTCACAATGCCCTGCTTCATTTTAGGTTTTCCAAATTTCTCCTCTGCTTCTCTCATTTCTTCAGTCTTTTCATGTTCACTGTCTTCTTCATTGACTCTTTCAAATTCAAGCTTCTTAATTGTATTTTGTGGTAAGTTTTTCTCGCTTTTTTCTTCCTTAGTTTTTTTTTTTTGCTTCAATATTTTTCTTGTGCAATTACTGATATTTTTAGAGAATATAAAGACATGAAGTTTACAGATGTGACCATTTTTATTTTCACTGATCCATTTGTGGAAAGGAAAATTGGATGAAAATGACTATAAACAAAATAATATTTAACAACCATCCAAACAAGTTGTTGATGAAGATGGAGATACTGTTGCTCAAATTTCGACATACATTCATCATCTGAATCAAATTTTGATATTTATTCTTTTAGGTTATTGTTCTCTATTGTATTTTCTCTATAAATAATATATGAATGTCAATAGTATTTTCTGATTTATTCATGCATCTTCACGAATAAATACTCAAGTTTCCTTAGTGCACCAAGGGTGTTTGATAATATGCCTACATCGAGATGGATCTTTGATTCAGCACTAAAGGTTGGTCAAGCTGTGAACTAATAATTATTTTTCCGTTCCTCGCTTCTTAGTGAACTTTTTTGTACTGTTGAAGGGAGAGAGGTAGAAAAGAGATATGCGATACAGAAATATCAAGACAAATAAATAAATGTCTTTTTTTCCTTTTCTTAAGTGAAGGAGAAAAGGAAAAAACATATGATTGTTATTTGTGGAATTTGAACCTTTCAATTCCAGGTAGAGTTTAAGTTATTCATAAAATGAATTCACCCTCAACTCCCTCTAATTCTATATAGAAGCAACATTACGTGCCTCATTATGAAAAATCATTTTTTTCCCATTTTATCACAGCTAAACTGGAAGGACCAAAGTTATTTTCTTGCTTCCTGGAATAAGAATACAAGAGGGTACTTGAATGTTTCTCATAATATCAAATAATTTAGAATAATTGAAGGATATTCTCTAGATTTGGTAACAACATTTGATGTTGGACCTAATTAATGTGCGGAATGATAGTTAAGTTATCCGTATGCGGTCATCATCAGTTGTATTGGGTTATGAATGCTAACGATATGAAATAATGCATTTATTGCAAATGATGTACCTTTACATTTGAGTTTTATACATGATCAATGTAAATATTTTTTGCACTATCAGGTTAGCAGATTTACATTAACCTTCTTGATAAAATGTGCTACCCACATGTAAAAATTATTTACGTTACGTTGACAATGTATATTATTTATTAAACTCATATGTTTTATTGTGCTTTCTATTCTGGCTTTGAAATTTGGGGCTGAGAAAAAGGTTGGGATGTTCATTGTTCAACTAATTTGAGATATTAGACGATGCTATTGATGTAATGAAATTGGAAGATGGTGTAATTCAAAACATGGTAAAGTCTCTGATTTGTATTCACAAGTTGCAATTCTTGATGTTTTTCATTGTATTGAGTTATTTTTCATAATATTGACAATTTTGACAAATCTACAATGATTTTAACTCCACTATATACATACTTGGTCGCCCATGGAAGTAGTTTGAAAAGATAATTCAGCAATTATTTGGAAACCTTTCCTCATGTTGGGAACCAAAATGAGGTACAAGAAGCAATGTAAAGTGTACTTCAAATAGAACTTGAGTTGTACGAGTAGGGTTAAAATAGTAAATTCACTTTATTCACTCTCTCACCTCTGCTTCTACTCTTTCTTCACTGCCTGACAACATTGACAACCATTTTAAACCTTCAACGGAGTTAAACTTTACTTCAGAGTCTCACTCCAACTTCTAAAGTTCTTTCAATTGTTTACCTGGTAAGTATTCTTGTGTGGTATTGGCCCTCTTCCCTTATGAATTTTTACTCTTTTTTTTTTCATTATTGTGTTTATGCTTCCTATTATTCTACTGATTTTTCTTATTTATAGGTCTTCCACAATTTTTCTTGAATTCTTTTGAGTTCTTATAGATGCCTCTTGAAATACATGCATAATTTTGTTTTCAATATTTTGCAGTTTCTAACTCTAAAATACTAAAAATATTAGTAGTATTTTCTTATCAATATATGATACTTTTTGCAGATAATTAATGGCTTGATGCGGTTGCATGTTTGACGAAATTTCCCGTGAAGGTAAGACTTGTGTGTTATGAAGAGAGATTAGTTACAAGAGTTGATTGTTTTGGCAGATGATTCAAGGTGCTAATGAAGTTGAACGGTGGGCTTAGGTGAATAGACATTTTCCCTTATAATATCTTTTTTCCATATGGCATCTTCCCCAAAAAAAATTGAGAAAGAATTTGAGTTGCCGAATTCTTTGATGCTGCCATGAAATTAGAAGTGATAATGTAATGCTGAAAATTCAGGGTAAGCTTTCAGTATTGATCTTTTTGTTGTTTGAACTACATTTTTGAAAAAAATCAGCTACTAATATAGTAAGTTGAGGTGGTATTCAAAGACAAATTGTTTAAATACAAAGTCAGAATAACAAGCAGGTTGAATCAGGCGAAAAGGTTGATTTCTGGCTCTCCAATTTCCAAGTCCTTTAAGGAACCATTCCACATTTTCTTAAGAACCTTTAAACTTTTGGCAATGGACCGTGATGTTGGTGTCGCATTTATTTTTAGCAGTTGTTCTTGGATAAAAGCTGGAACTTTAATATTGAAAATTCTGTTACTAGATTGAGTTCTAGAAGTCTGTCATATGATCTTATGCTTTCTCAAAGTTTTTGTTTCATGTGTTCATATTAGTTAGATACAATTGATAATGTTAAAAATATTTTTCATCTGATCAATCCAGAAAAAAATGAACATAAGAAATGTAGCAAATAAGTAATAATGTTGACGCTAGAATTTTTTTGAGAAATGAGTGAGTAATAAAATGTCCGGGTAATGGAAGAATCCTATAAGACTATTAATTTAACGCAGAAACAAACTCTTTTCTTTAATCTTGAGTTTGTTGATCAAGAATAGCTACTAACTCCTAAACTTTTTTATATCATACGTGAAATAGGAGTAGTAATTTGAGTATGCAATATAATAATATTGTGTTAAGAGTGCTGTCATATGCTTTTTATAGAGAAATATCAACTTCATGTTTTCTCTTTTATTTGTAGCATAATATTCTTTCATCAGAATTTTGTGTCATGGTCATTAATGGGTTCCTTCTTTTGCTTATTGCATTTGAAGGTTTGGCAATGAAATAGATGAAAAAAATGGAGGTTTTGCTTGATCCAAGTATGAGCTCTAAAATGTATGTGTTTATCTTTCGCAAACATTTTTAGCTAATTTATTCTCACATTCATTTGTTTTTGAATATTTTTACTCTTTCCATGTCCCTCAATAGAAGTAAAACAAACATTTATTTTGTATTTCACGAGAGACAATTTTGTATATGAGATGTAGGTGAGACGAAGAGAAGCTGACATTTTTAGTATGTGCTCTTTCTATGTCCCCAAATTAAGAAGCATAAGGATAGGTAGAGCATGAGCTCTTGCAGACTAAGTTGTTGTATTATATGTTAAATGTAATAAAAGGATTTTCTTAGTGGTTTATACAACATCAATGTAATATTATGTTATTCAAACTTAAGGTCTGATTTGATTGTGAACTTTGGGCGGCCCAAAGTAAGAAATGAACTTTTTGTTTTAGAACTACCAACTTCCATATTTGAATGTGTAGCAGCCATTAAAAAGATATCGATTGAGTGCTTATAACTTTAAGGTGGAATAGAACTACAAAAAGTTAGGGTTGATGTTCATAAAATAAACAAATGGTGAAGCTTGCCAATTGTAAATCAAATATGTACAAATAGTTGAACTGGTCGGTACTGACAGGTACAACCTTTGGTATTTTTATACATATGTTTGGAAAACACTTGCCTAAATTTCCATTTTGCAAAAATAGGAGGATTGACAGTAATCTCAATTTCAATTGGTGGATAGTTATGAGAGTAAAAATTATTAAATGAGTTTAGATGATTAATATACAAAGTGAAAACGTGAGAGATCTACTATTGAGTTCTTGTCATATCAGAGTCAACAACTTTGTTCGAACTGATCGTTACACGCTTGTGAACAATTTTGTAAAAATAACCTAAAAAATAAAGAGTTACAAGTGACTATACAAACTCTTACATGGAACTCTGGTGAACAACTCATGCCTTTGATTTGCTTCACTATATTATGTTCGAATACCACTTGATTGTATGAAGAGCTCCTACTTTGTTTTACTCAATTTATTCTAGGATGTGAAAGTGAGTTTGCCTTATATGGGTCAATTTATGCATACTGAACGTCAACATCAGTTGTGGTATTAGGTGTATTAAACTTTATTGCTGAAATATTGTAAAGATGTACAATTTCTCAAATGGGTGGATTTGTTGATCTCCACAACCAACTATACAAGAATATTGGAAACAAATGGAATTGGGTATTTCAAAACAGGGAAGTCATATTTGTCGCGTTGGAAAATTCGTCGTTTTTGCTTATTTGTTTCTGGTGTGAAGGCTGAAAACTTTATCTAAACTATCATGTGTGTGTGAGAGTTTCTTACCTGAAATTCAATCATCGATTCACATAGGAGAAGTGAATTTTTGATGGTTGATAGGTATTTTGATAAATAGTTGGCGGTGTAGTTCAATAATGAAACTAAAATATAAGGACACTTTAGGAGTTCTTTTAACCATCAACTCTTTGTTTCTCATTTCTCGCAGAATGATTTTTTGTTATTCCCTGTTAATTAAATAGATAATTCCCATGAACCTATACGAATTTTTGAAATATAGTCTTCCAAACTACTTATTTTTGCTCCTCCAGGAGGTGATGGATAGATGTGAAAAAGAAAGTTATTGTATGACTCATGTTGGATGGCATTATTAATGTTACAAACGATTGTAAAACACTTCTAATATTATGCATTGATATTTATTTTTCACAATTATATGTCAGGTAAAAGTGATCTTTTGCTATGTTCTTTTTGTTGTTTCTTGCAGGCCACATGAAAATATGCCTTCGGTTTGGATTGTGTCAGGAATGATACGAATGATATGATTCCCTCTGCTGATTGTAAGACGCATATTCTATTTCTCCATTTGTATGAGTAAATTGTATCATTTCTTTGAGATATGAAATTATAAGCTATGTATCAATGTTATTTTGGACATTTCATATATATTTATAGGAAATGCACTGATGGTAGCAACATGTGGTGCTATAAGTTTCATATTTTAACTCTTTATTGTTTTCAGATTCAAGTGATGATTCAATATGATGACATTGTTGTTAAACCAGAATTTATCTTTTTTGGCCAAGTAGACTGGGTATTGACATTTTAATTATGTTGCCTAATCCTATATTAACTTAGGCGAGAAATAATAATTTTAAACTATGGAAAGAAATATAAGGCTAATTGATAGTAGTATTTATTTGATGTATGTCTTCCCTCCATGCTATAAATATGACATAGAAGTTTTATGAAAGAGACATAATGAGAAGTGGAAAAATGACAAAGAAATAGAGAGAACAAGGCGATACATCTAATAAAGTGGGACAATGTCACATTGGACAAGAAAATAGTAGCCTTAGAAATAAATAGATGAAGGAAAAAAATAATTTACTCACGTTATGAAAATATATTGTGGAAGTAGAGGTAATTTTAAAAAGGGTGATTACAAAAGTGTGGGTTCAAAAAGGTGAATGGTATATATACAACTTTACAGGGCCATATGAAAGTGAAATTTGGATAACATATAAGGTATGTGGATTCTTTTAAACTAATTATGTTTTGTTTCAGGTGATGGAAGAAAATAGCATTGGGGCGGCATGGCATGACAACTGAAGAAGTCACATACTTCTGTTTTGTAGCACCACGGACATTTAATGGGTATTGTATAAAATTACTTCATACCAAACAAAGAAATCTTCTTTTAATACATTGTTTTATCCGTTTCTTATCCTGTTTCAGTTGGTTCTCTCTATTTGATTAGAGGTCCAATTTAACGGTTTCTTCAACCTTTGCTTAATTTATTTTGTAAGTTGAAATATCTTACTTTCGACTATCTAATGCTACTTGATGTTATGATTTTATCTGTGAATAGATTTTTGGAGTCCATTTATATATAATTTAGCAGCTTGTGATGCTTCATTTTGACAATTGTGTCGATCATATCCCCCAAATCCACAAAAGACATTATGACCAACAACGGATTGTCCAATTAATATTAAAATAATATATTTTTAGGATGTTAATGAAATACTTTTAACTTCCTTGCTGACTAATTATGAAAGAAAGGGGCAAAGTATTAAGAATGTATACAGTGCTGCTTCAATCAAGTAAGTTTTACTTTTTTGGTGAACTTCCTTGCTGACTAATTATGAAAGAAAGGGGCAAGGTATTAAGAATGTATACGGTGCTACTTCAATCAATTAAGTTTTACTTTTTTGGTCATTATCTTTATTTTATATGTAAAATGTGGATATGGATGGAAAGATTTAATATATGCTCTTTTTTTATTTGTAGACATACTTATATGTCCAACCATTTCTTTAGGAATTTACTCTAATTGTTCCCGTATCATGGAAGATGAAGAGTTTCCAAATCCTTGGTAAAATGCCTTGACTTTGTATTAATATATACTATGTGTACTATTTAACTCCTCTGTGATTCAAAAACGTTTGATACACTCGCCAATTAGAACTTTTGGATCCTTACTCGCTTTAACAATTGTATTGCTGAGTGAGGTAAGTGACGTCAAACCAAGGAAAATGATTGATTTCAGATTCTCTAATTTTCAAGCCTTCAGGTACAATTTCACACCCTTTTCAAGCTTTTAAGATTTGTAGGAACTGTAGTATTCTATTTTGGATGATGTTGTATTAGTATTTAGTAGTTATTCTTAGATAGAAGTTATGCTTTTAGTATGATCTAAATTTCTTCTGTTATTTTTGTATTGTTTGAATTGCAACTTCTGATATATTAGCAGACTGGCAGACGATACCAAAACACCATAGTTTATCATATTCATAATTACAATTCTGCAATTGAAAGGATGATCATACAGTAGGAGACTAATGATGTTTGGAAATGATTTAGGTAATATTCATTTCCTTAATGAGGTATTATCTGTATTTTTGACACACATAATATTTTATGAAGAAGTTCTCACATTTTATGTGATTATGCATGTGGGATAGGTTTTGCTTTAAAAAATTGTTGTTCAACTTTTCCTTTATTGAATTGAAAATCTTAAGTTACGAGTAGTAAATTGAAATGAAAGGATAAAAACGTAGCTATAACATGTTTTTATCTAAGTCAGGCGCTCAAATTATTAATGTTAGAGCTAAGGATAATGTCAAAGCAAGTCTGACCCGTTCCTTTGTATCATTATCTTTAATTTGCTTGAACTTATAAGGTTCTTATCGTTTTGTTAGATATAGAAGCTACAACGTCTAAGTGCAGTAATTTAAATAGCATCTTTGTTGAGCTTTGTAAAACAAATAGCATCCTAAAGTACATGATCTTTAGGAGGAAAAGAAAAAAAATTCTATCTGTAATATCTTAAGATGGCTTCCTAGTAGCCAAAATAAATCTATCCATAAATCACCTTCTTATGAATTTATCTTTAATAGAGATTGTGGCTCACTTCTATCCCAATTTTCCCAAGAGAGGGCTTGAGCAAATGTGTACTCTAAAAGGTGTTTGTAGTTTACCCAAAAACATGACTTGTTCAAGCAGATTAAGATGAAATTGACTCTTAAAAGGATTAGTTTGGGCAAATAGTGAAATTGATAGACTTTAACAGAAACTTGTGTGGACTATTTCTGCTGTATTCACTTTTCAATAATTTTCAGGAACAACATATAGTGAGTTGATGTTCTCCATGGTACATTGGATTGTTCAGAAGTTGCGACACCAATAGAATATGAATGATAAACTGTAAATGCAGAATGTTCCTAACAACTTTGAGCATTCTCCCTTTTTTTTCTTACTTTTTGATTGTTTTGTTTGGGTGCAATTTTTTTGAGTTGTGCCAACAACTCCTATGCTATGATTTTTTGAATGAAGAAGATTAGCTACTACGAAGCGAACTCCGGCATCCTCTACATATGATAAACAATGACATGCTAATCTTATATATCAAAACTGAAACATCTTTTATATCCCTCTTCTAAATAAGGGTAATTATTTTGATTGTATTACATTAGTTAGTATTTGCAGATCATTCAAGTCGGCATCATACTGATGTCTGCTGTACATATTCAGAATATTTCTAATAGTATATAATATATGATATATGATATTATCCATCTTCTGCAAAAGCTATCACCCTTGATTCATTAGTATTAATATTTTTACAAGCATAATATTTTGACTAAGCACGGTCCTCCCCCATCTAGTATACATAGAGGTTAAAGTTGTGTTTAAATTTTTACCTGAAGTCGTCCTCCTCCTTCGAGGTTACGGAAGCTTTATGTTATATTCCTTTTCTCTCTTCTCTTTTCTAAATATAAAATATTAAGTGACAAACTCCAATAGTTTATCTTAATAAATATGGGTCAGTAGTAAGGATATTAAATAAATTATTGACTTGACTCATTAACCACCAATTAAATAAATTATTTTATATTACCCATCAATTAAATAATGATAGTTAATAAATGGTCCAAAATATTCATTTAGAATGTATCGAAAAAGTTTTTTATGAAAGAAAAGGGTCTAGTGTTCGAAACGACCTAACGGATAGTTACAATAACTCTATTGTTCAACCATCAATTCCACGGTCACTTCTACTCCACTAGAAAATACATTGTATTATTTTAAGAAAAAAAATTCATAGTTCTATTTTAGTTGTTCTATAGAGCTTTTTCTTCTTTCTAACCGTTGATTTTTTGTTTTTGTAAAATCATACATTAACAAGTACATTTTTTATTGCATTTTCATCTTACATTTCTTCAATGTACTATAAATTGCTTACATGAATGATCTTCATTTCAACTACTATTCATCGCCTTCTTAATTTCCTCAATATTTTGAGGGGCAAAGAGAAGTCACGATAATTTTTTTCGAATTCATCGATCAAGCTCTATACGAATTGGATGAACTTCATACGTAAAGTTAAATTATTTCTACATATAAAAATATTGATATTCTCTTTGGGACAAAAATTAAAATGTGTGTCACTTAAATTTGGAAGGAGAGTAAAATAGTTTCAAAAATATATTCTTAGATTAAGTAACACTTGGTTCTTCAAGCTATAAATAGCTCTATTTTTCATCCATCAATTCCACGACCACTTCTACTCCAAAAGAAATTTCCTTTTTTCTGTTTCAAGAAAAATAATAATTTAAAGTTCTATTTCAACTATTTTAAAGAGTTGTTCTTCTTTTTAACTATTGATTTTTTGTTTGTGTAAAACATACATTAATCGGTACATTTTTTGTTACATTTTCATCCTACATTTCTTAAATTGTATCATCACTATATTATAACAAATAACTTACACGTGAATGATCGTCATTTCAACAGCTATTCATCGTGTTCTCAATTTCATCAACATTTTGGGGGCAGAGAGAAGTCACGACAACATTTCATGAATTCAACGATCAAGCTCTATACAAATTGGATGAATTTCGTAAATCGTATGTACACTTACAAAATAAAAAGGTTCCCAAGTCTTTGTAGTCATGATTCAACTTCTTGCCCCTTTACACACCAAGGAGAAAAAACATGTTGTCGTGATCCTAGACAATATAACTATTTACCAATTTCTTGTCCGAAATATAAATTTGCATCGTGCATAAGAGGTGACTATAGTACTATTACTTCTGAATGACAAAACAACCAAGTACCTTTTCCTAAATGTCTTGTGTATCCTAATGATGTGACATCTAATATGGACCCCACATTTTCAATCACATTTTTTGTTAAATACTTTGGATATAGAGTAATAATTAGTCTATTTTATAGGAATTTACACTTCATATAATTTTTCTCCTTGTTTATGTGCATTTTGATGAGATTTACATTCATGTGGGGTTGGTAGTTTCTCTCCTACTCTATTCATGCTAGCTTGAGTCCCATTCGAAGACGAATGTCCCCAAGAGGAAAATATTATAACACCTCGAAAATTGAAAAGTCAAAATGAAAAGGAAAGGTTTAAGTTTTGGCTACTACTTCAGACCCACGAGACCCATCTAAGATTCGTAGAAGCATATACGGGTCATAGATGGCATTCGTAGGGACTCAGTTGAATTACATGATTTATTATTGATTTCATATGGACCCATACATTATACGTGATCATGACTATGAATTTATGAAAGAAACTCATGAACTTATGAATGATGATATATGAATGTTATGCATGTCTTATGAAAATGATGTTTTATGAACTAAGGATGCTTTCGAGATAAATGTCAATGAATTGTGAAAGGTTTTCTCACATTGTATGAAATCATGATTGTGAAAGGTTTTCTCGCGTATGTATGAGACAATATTTAAAGGAGCTACTCTTATACGACTTTATGATTTGGATTGGTATTATGATTATTGTCCTTCCTAAAGTTATGCTTTGATAATTGATTTTATCTATTTCGTTGGGATTTAACTTAGCATCAAGAGGACTTTGAGGTGGAGGCTCAAATAGGGTAGCCTCTAGTAGCTATCTCTAGTTCCAAACTACGTGTCACCGTAGGATTATCTTAAATGACCTAGCTAGTAGATCCATATAGAATTAATGATATGAGACAAAGCTCTACCTTGACAAGTAGACTCTCCCTTTTCGGTGTGAGAGTTACACCAGATTCTATGTTATAGATCACATGATCTATTATCGATTAAAGCTAATATCCCACAAAAGAACTATGATTTTCCTTAAAGCTTCCATGATGTATTTAGCTTTGACCTTACTCATGATTTTGATAAATTTTCTTTTAAGCTTTTAAATGTTCTACTTGGTCATGTATTACATGTTTAATCTTACTATGATATCATGTCTACATTTATGCATATTTCCCCATAATGCATACTTGTGCATATATTGTCTTAAAATATAGGGTCTGATGCTTCTCCTCCCGCTCGTGGCTAGATTCAGATTGCTTATAGAGATTGGATTGGTGAGTCCTCAGACTCAGAGGGAAAATCCATGAAAACTTTTTATTACTTTTATTTGTTACTCTTGAGACTTTGTACGTGGTGTATGTGTTACGTCCTAGCCACTCTTGTGTTGTTTAGAATGGCTTGTCAAGGAAAAGTTATGATTCCGGCCGCATTTATGTTCAAGCTCTCCTTTATGATATGAGACGTCTTTGTTAAACTCTCTTATTATGTTGTATGCATGCATGTCAAGTTGCTTGTGTAGGGCCTGTCGGGTTCTAGACGCCATGTCACGTCTAGGGTATAGTGATATACTTGTCTCTGCGTTCTTCAAGGCTTCTTCTAGTCAGAGGCTCAATCTGGCAAAATTTAAAGTCATCTTCTCAAACAACTGGACCCCCGAGAATAAAACCATATTGCTCAACATTAGGACGAGCAGGTCCTTTGGGAGGTACTTGGGGTTCCCCATCTTCCCCGAAAAAAACCATATTCCCCCGAGAATTACCAATTCATTATTGACAATATAATATGCAAGCTAAGCTCAATGGATGGAAAGCCAAATTCCTTAGCATGACAGGAAGAACTGTGCTAGTGAAAGCCTCTCTGGAAGTACTATCCCTTCCCATTTCATGTAATACAACCAGTTGTCGGCAAAAACCATCAGTAGAATCCAAAGGAACTTCGTCTGGGGTTCAACCTCTGAAAAAAGACTTCAATACCATCACTAGGGGAGAAGAGGAAGGGGGACTAGTCTTACAAAAAAGTCAGGTTAAAAACAAGGCTCTCTTGGCCGGTCTAGCATGAAGTATGTACAAAAAACCCCAAGCACTTTGGACAAACACTGCCACAAGAGGAAGCCTACCTATATATGTTGTATCAAGGTTTTGGAAAGGCATTAGAAAGGGATGGGATATATGCTTGAAAGGCTCGAGATGGGTAGTTAACAAAGTGAATTTTCTTTAGGACAATTGGATCCCAAATTTTGGGTGCATTACGCAACACCTTTCAGTAGACAAAACCTTACCATTAGAATAGACTCCCTCGTGAACAATGGCTCAGGAATCTGTCTATTACTCTTCATGAAGATCTTCTCAATAAGGTAACATACATCTTTATCTCAAAAGCTACAGAGAAGGAAAACAACCCTATTTGCAAGTTCAGTAGAAATGGGGTTGAAAACGTCCATCACATCTTCTTTCAATGTCAGAGAGCCACCATGGCTAAAGCAACAAGTCTATTGTTGTCATCGATTCAACAATATTGGTCAATGCTAAAAACTGGAAAAGCACCTAGGAGGCCATCAAGGGCAAGGAATTCAACAACGGGATCTCATGGGAAATGATCACCGCCCCCTTTTGCCTTTGGGGACTTTGGATTAACAGAAATGACAACCTTTTCAACGATAAGAACCACCACGTCCAAATAGATCACATCACTGAAATCAATCTCATCGTGGCCAAAAGCAATAGGACCAAAACCACTAGAATGGTTGTCCAAGTCAAATGGATCTTTCCAATATCCCAAGGTATGCTAAAGCTCAATGCCCGAGAAAGGGGTATATGAAGGGTATTTAGTAGGTGAAAGGATTTATCTAAGCTTGTGCTCACACAACCATAATTCAGGACAGAGGATAGTGAAATCAACTCTGATTCGATCCAAGCTATTTTTATGCTTATTAATGATCACCTTTGTTTTAATAATATCATTACTGAATGCAAAAAGCGGGACAAGTTACCATATGTTCAGGGAGGAGAGTAGAGTGGCAGATGATCTGTTTCCCAATTTTATTCTTTTGATTATTCCATACGATTCTCCTAATTGTTAAGAACACAAGGATAAATATGAAGAATTCACTTACATGGACTTGAGGGAGAAATAAACTGAAGAATCAAGGGTAAATAATTGCTTTATGGAAAGATTGCAACGAAAAGTCTGAGGGGTAATTCCAGGAAAGTGTCAGAGGATCCAGAATTTTAGGAAGCGACTGACTAGGCTAGACTGCTCATCTTCTCGGAAAAGAATAGTAGCGACGCTCTTAGCCTGAGCTAAGCTGTAAACTTCTATT